TTCCTGCTGGGATTCTTAATACAAATGGCCATGGGTTCCTTTGGTCACTCATGGAACTAATCTATGTTATAAAGATACCCATCTCCTCAAAACAATGCTAGTAGTGGAGCTCCAGAAAGGACTCTGCAGTTAAACAGAGAAGGTGGTGTAAGTATCTGGATAATGGGATAGTGGTTTTTCACCTCTACATTAACATTTGAATCAGTGTGAGAAGCATTTAAACATCTGACAAACCTAGAAATCCTAGATAACCATGCTGTGGTTAAAGCCACAGGTGACAAAGAGTCTAAGTTGATCAATTTAGGTGGCCTGTACAAAATGAATTGTTTGCCTTCGTATACTTCCCCTCTGAGAAGTGGCTAACTGCAGCATCGTGACTATCGTAGCTTTGTTGGCAGTCTCAGCAGAAAGGCCAAGGATTGGATGGGTCATGGTGACTGAACTATCCTCTCACCTCTAGAGGTGGTCCCTCCAGGACAGAGATGAGGCACATTGGTGGGGGCAGCGTGGGGAAGCTTGCACGGCTGCCGCCCATGCTGTATCTGTTCTGTGGATAAATAGAGGGCTTCAGCCTCCAGTGTTGTCAATCCAGCACCTTTCACCAGCACTAAATTAAAAAGAATATAAATAAATACCAAAAAAAAAAAGAAAAAAAAGGATAAAAAAAAAAGGATAGAGGTGCATTGGCAGAGCTGCGCATGTAATGTTTGTGAAGTACCTTGCTCCAGCCAGTGATACTGGTCTCTCATTTTCACAAGCATCAAATTCATCCAATTAAAAAACAAAGCAAAAGGAAAAATCACCAAGGAGAAAAACAAAGTTGTATTACCACAGTGGAACTTAAGTGTAAGGGCTTTTTCTCATGAACAACTCCATTCCAGACAGCGGTGTCGTAATAACCAGAATAGTGACTTGCACACTGTGAAACACAGAGAGCACCTGGGACTTTACTAGAAGTGAAATCCCATAATCAGTGGGTATTGTCTGAATGCTGTGCTCACCTAGCTGAGCAAAACTAGCAGAGAAGAAATGCTGTATCACAGGCTGCCAAAACATGTTAGTAAGAGTGAAGAATAATATATATATATACACACACACACTGAAGTATTTTTCAAAACCATTACTTCTTATTCTTCCCTCATTTGTGGTCATTTACACTGTCTAGTTCTCATCTCTGGGAGGTGCTGTTGGCTCATCCATCAGCACCATACCCTTTCATCACTTTGGTTTCTAAGCAACAGCAAAGAATGCAGTAAAGAGGGAAGCTGGTGATGTTCTGGAGTCATCAAGATCAGAAGGACTGGCACAGCCTGTCACTGTGAGCACTGGACTTCTAAAGTGGAAAATAGACTGAAACGCTATGAGCGCCAACCCCCCTCAGATCCCCCAAAAGATTCAGACCTCACATGCCAGCTGAAGCACATCCATTTAAGGATGTCTTCCTGACGTGACTGCCCTGTACTCAGTTCCATCTTCCCTTTCCTGTTATGCCAGTTTCATCTGCTTACTTTACTATTTGAATTGTCATTATTTTCCTTCCAGCCCTTGGTAATTAGTGAAGCTCTTCGCCTTTGTTTGAAGATGTCCACTTCTCACCTTCCTATGCCACTGGATCCTTCAATTAAATCACTTTGATGCATCTGTGTCATAACAACAGCCAGGCAATTAAAATTTTACTGCAAGACTGAGCAAAAAAGTCCCAAGCTGGCCTGATAGACAAGGCCCTTCTCTGTTTACTCTGTCCATAAGGAAAAATACAGTTCCCCTGTATGGGAAAAAGGGCTAAGATTTAAATATCAGCCTCTATCTCTGACTATATCCTGGATACCTTCTTCAGATGCCTGTGAAGAGAGGTGTATAAGTTTGTGAACCTG